TAGTCAGGATGGCAGCTATTATGCATACAAACAACAATAAGTGTTGGCGAGGATGTGGGAAAAAGGCACACTCATACACTGCTGGTGGGACTGCAAATTGGTGCAGCCAATATGGAAAGCAGTATGGAGATTTCTTGGAAAATTGGGAATGGAACCACAATTTGACCCAGTTGTCCCTCTCCTCGGTCTATACCCAAAGGACTTAAAAGCAGCCTAGTACAGGGACACAGCCACATCAATGTTTATAGCAGCACAATTCACAATAGCTAAACAGTGGAACCAACCTAGATGCCCTTCCGTGAATGAATGGATAAAAAATGTGGTATATATACACAATGGAATATTACAGAGCAATAAAAGAGAATAAAATCATGGCATTTGCAGGTAAATGGATGGAGTCAGAGAAGATAATGCTAAGTGACGTTAGCCAATCCCAAAAAGACAAATGCCAAATGTTTTCTTTGATATAAGGAGGCTGATTCACAGTCATCAGTGGATGCCTGGGCTCCTGGATGTCTCTGCTGGGGACCCTGAGTACCTGGAGCTGCTCTCCAAACCTGTACTTGGGATGGAACCCAGAGCCCCAGCACGCCAGGCSCTACCACTGAGCTACATCCCCAGCACCTGGAGATTCTCTGAGATCAGAACCATGCCTTGGCCACAGAGCCACCCCCACAGCATCAGTGCCACAGTGGGAGCTCTGGGGAAGATGGAGTGGTCCCCAATCCTCCCTCCATCCCCATGGGGGTTCTGCCTGGAGGCCCCACACCCGGGCCACTCACCGCTCGCTGGTCTGCATCAGCTCTATAAGGTCAGAGAAGAGGACATCCCGGTTCCTCTCGCAGAAGCCGCTGACGTTATAGGAGACCTGGAGGGGGGGGTGTCATGGGGGTGAGGCCCAGAGACTGGGTGTGTGGGGGTGGACCTGCTCTGGGGTGAGAAGATGAGAGTTAGCTACAGCTCTGGTTTGGGGTGATCTCTGGTTTAGAATAGAGGATTGGGGGTTACCACTGGTRCCAGGGCTCCCTGGATGTCTGAAGTTCAAGTTAGAGTGTGTGACCCCAAGTCACAGGTGAAGGGATGTGGGGGTTGAAATCCTGCTCCTTGGATCAGAGCCAGGGCGAGGTAGGAGTTAGGGTTCAGATTGGAGGGTGGGGAACTGCAGCCCGGGAGGGGGTGCCCAGGAGTCTGCTGCTTAATATTAACTCCCAAGGTTGGATTTCCTCATCCTGGTCACTTGGTGGTTGTGGATGCTGTGTTTGGGGAGGGTCTACAGCCCTGGCTATTGATAGGGGGTGGTGGGCTGGGGCTATTTCTAAAGAGGGGGCTCTTTATACACCCGCTTTTGCAGCCCTGGCTGAGGACAGGCACTCCCACCTGTTTTGGGGGATGGTGGGAGGCAGCCTGGGCAGGGGCCCCTGGGAATGTCTGCTACCCCATGAGGTCAGGAGCATGAGGAGAGGGTCTATAGTCCTCCCAGTGGGGAAGAGGCAGTGGCCAGGGAGGAGCTTGCTGGAGCCTTGGGTAGGGTCTGCAGGGAGCCTGTAGCATGGGCCTGGGGGCCTGGGAGATTTACTTTCCAAAATGGGATAAGAAGGGGGGTTCCAGAGTCAGGGGCTGCTGCTCACATTGAGGTTGGGGGTTTTCTGGGCAGAGGGGAGGGACTGGTGCCTGCTGCCCAAGTTGTCCTGCCTGTCTACTGGGGCAGCTGCCCTTTTGGCTGAGCAGGCTGTGGCCCTGATCGGAGACCAGAGAGTTCCTTGGGGGGACCAGGGGTGGGTGCAGGCAGTTTGGGGGAAGAGCTCCTGGTTGGGTGGTGGCTGCGGTCCATGGGTTCATCATTGTGGTCAGTATAGGGAGAGAGCCGGAGGAGGATGTTGGTGGAACCCTGCGGCCCTGGCTGGGGGTCCTGGAAGGATCCTTCCCATCTGGGTGTTGCAGGGCTGCAAGCTGGAGCCCTTGGGGTCTGTGAGGGGTCGCCTAGGGGGAGTACAGCGGCGGGGCGGGCGCGGGGGCACGCACTTTGCCAGCGTAGTGGTGGATGACRAAGCCCGCGCTCCAGCTGTTGAAGTGCTCGTGGGTCCCCACGGCCGCCTGCAGCTTCTGCAGCAGCGTCTGGTCGGCGCCTCCGCCTGTGGCGTGCATAGTGGCGCACACGTCGTCCAGCACGCTCATGATGCCCGGGGGGCTCTGCCAGGGCGAGCAGAGGGCAACTTAGTCGGCTGGTCCTGCCCTGGCCAGTCGCCAGCCCCAGAGAGGGAGCCCAGAGGTGAGCAGGTGCAGAGGGCTGGAGGGGGCGGGGAGGGCGCATAATACTCGCCCCAATGGTGGCAGTGAGGCTGGTGTCGCTCCAGTGGGAAGGCTCCTACCTAACTGCGAGACCCAGGGTTCCTTCCCGCGGGCAGGAAAAAGTGGTTTTTGGTGGTAGAGGACTTAGAAATGTGTGCTTCACGGGGTGCAGGAGATAGTGGGGGACCCCCAGGAGAAATTCATGACTTTGACCCCTCTGAGCCCAGGGGAATGTCCAGTGAAGAAATGAAAGCTGAGCCGAGGGGCAGAGGCCAGCATCAGGTGGCTGAGGGGATATTTCAGTTGTGCTTCATCTGCTGGAGACCTGGGCCTAGGCTAGAGGGGCCCTAGGCTGCCATAACCCACTCCCGGGTCCCCCAGGCCCAGCTCCAGGGCCCAGTGAGACCTCTGGAAGTGGGTCAGTCCTCACCAGCTTGTTTTCAATGAGGTCACAGACGACTTTGTTGTTGAAGTACTCGATGGGGGTCCAGCGGATGCCCTCCTGCACATACTCCTCCTGGGGGGAAGGGGGTGGGAGGAGTGGATGGAGGAGCTGTGCCCAGTGCCACCCATCTCTTCTCCCAGGCCTGTCTCTGGCCCTGGGTGGGGCAGGCAGGAAGTGCCAGGGAACCGTGTCCCTGCTTCTGGTCCTCCCAGATGGACACTCAACAGGACCTGGTGGATAAACCACCAGCTTCCGAGGCAGAGGGAAATGCAGTGGTGTGCCGGCGGGGGCTGCAGTGCGGATGCTGAGTGTCCCCCAAAGGCCTGTATGATGGCCTGGTCCACGGAGTGGTGCTCTTGGGAGGTGGTGGCACTTAGGGGAGATGGGGCCTAGTGCGAGTCTTTAGGCCATTAGGGGTATGTCCTTGAAGGGACTTATGGGACCCTCCCCTTCCTCTCTCTCTCTCTCTTGCTTCCTGGCCACGAGGTGAGCAGTTTATTCTGACATGTGCTTTGCCATCTGGYACCCCCACCAGAGGCCCAAAGCTATATGGGTCCATCCAACTTAGATGGGAATCTCCAAAGCCGTGGGCCAGAATAACCCTTTCTCTGAGTTGATGATGCTAGGATTTCATGGTGGTGCTGGGAAGCCGGCTGACAGAGGGCAAGCAGGGAGGTGGGGACCAGGGGCTGGGGTCTCCCCAGTGGCTCGGTGACTCTCAAGGTCCTACCCCACCCCGATACCCATCCCATGCCACTTGGCTGCGCTGCCCACCTGCTCAGCCTTCAGGGTGAGCTCGATGAAGATTTGTTGCAGCTTTTCATTGACGAAGTTGATGCAGAACTGCTCAAAACCATTTTTCTGCCAGGGAGAAAAAGGGTCCCTCCATCAGTGGGCTGATGCTAGGTGGCCACGGGCTACCCCAGGTTGTATGGAGGACAGGTGTGGGTTGGGGGTTGGAGGTGCAGTGGCCAAACCTGGAAAATCTCGAAGCCGTAGATGTCAAGGACACCGATACTGTACTCCTCCTGGGGCTTCTGCATCGCGCGGTTGATGGCCTGTAGTGTGGCGGGGACAGCAGTCAGTGGGCATCTGGTCAGCACTCTCCTGATGTGCTCTTAGCTGTGCTCATGGACCGTGTCCCCTCTCACCAATTTCTCTCTAGTGCCATGGTCTGWCCTCCCACCTTGTAATCAGTCACCCTTATGAGAGAGCCAAGTGTTTGAGTATCGGGGTCCCTGATCTGGCAGCCACCTCTGCCACTTAACCTCTCCGTGTCTCTGTTTCCTCATCTCTAAAGCGAATTAATAAGCTAGGTGTCATGGTGCACACCTGTAGTGTCAATGCTCGGGAAGATGTGGCAGGAGAATCCCTTGAGATCAGTAGCTCGAGACCAGCCTGGGCAACAGTGAGACTCGTCTCAAAAAATAAATTAATTAAAAGAATGGATTGGGCTGGGGATACAGCTTAGTTGGTAGAGTGCTTGCCTTGCATGCACAAGGCCCTGGGTTCAAATCACCAGCACCACACACATACACAAAAGAATGGATTAATTATAGCAGCTACTGGGTTGGGGGTATAGTTAGTGTTAGAGCACCTGTGGGCATATGTGAGGCCTTGGGTTTGATTCCCAGCACTGCAAAAACTAATTAAAAAGCAACTATAGCTAGGCATAGTGGTGCTTGCCTGTCATCCCAGCGGCTCAGGAGGCTGATGTAGGAGGATTACAAGTTGGAGGCCAGCCTCAGCAATTTAGTGAGATTCCATCTCAACATAAAAAAGAAAAAGACTAGAGATATAGCTCAGTGGTAAAGTGCTCCTGAGGTCAGTTCCCAGCTCTAAAACAAACAAATAAAAACCAACTATAGGGTGAGTATTTCTTATTTGAAATGCTTGGGACCAGAAGTGTTTCAGAGTTTTGATTTTGGAATATTTACAGGTATATAATGAGATGTTTTGGGGATGAGACCCAAATCCAAACACAAATCTCACTTCTTTTATATGCACTCTCTACCCATAGCCTGAAGTTCATTTTATACAATATTTTTAGTGTACCTTCATATTATATATGTATGATTACCAGGGGCAATTTACCACTGAACTACATCTCCAGATATATATATATATATATATATATATATATATATATATATATATATATATATATATATATATATATATATTTTTTTTTTTTTTTTTTTTTTTTTTTTTTTGACACAGGGACTTCCCAAGTTGCTTAGGGACTCACTAAGTTGCTGAGGCTGGCTTTGAACTTGCAGTCCTCCTGAGTCACTGGGATTACAGGCCTGCACCACCGTGCCTGGCATATCTGCATTTTGACAGTCTATCAGGTCAGGGGCAGAATTTTCCACTTGTGGTATCATTTTAGTGCTCAAAAGTCTTGGATTTTGGAGCATTTGGGATTTGGGATTTTCAGATTAGGGATGCTTAATCTGTACTTTATGGGTCTTTTTCTGAAGATTCAAGAAGTCGATGCACATAGAACACTTAGGACGGTGCCTAAKGGCTATTCGTGTTTGTTACGGTCCTGACTGTTACTGGCCCTGACATGTCCTGTTCCTTTCTGCCCCCATCTGTCTGTCACTTTGTCCCCTCAACACTCCTCCTCCTGGCTCTCAAATGTACCCCCCCATCCCCATTGCCTTGATGCCAGTCCAGGTCTGGAGTCTCCAGCAGCCCCTTCCCTCTGGGGCTGCGTGCCACAGCCATAGGAGCTTCTGGATCTCCCACCCATCCCCCATTGCCTGTGCTGAGAGTCGCCTCCATCCCCAGCCAGGAGTTGGTGAGATGAGGAGTCAAGTCTGCCTCTTCTGCTTGGTGGGCTCAAGCCCAGGACTTGGTAGGCAYCGGGTGCCCACCTAGCCCCACAGCCCATGTCCCGCAGCCCCGGTTCCACTCGCCTCCACCAGGAAGTCGAAGAGGCGAGCATAGAGTCCCTTGGCCAGGGCGTCACGGGTGTAGGCTGCCTGCTCCACGTTGAGGGTCACGTTAATGGACTCACTGCGTCCGCCCCAGCGGCTGTCCATCTTGCGGCTGGTCAGCTTCTCCTGCAGCCTCCCGCTGTCAATGCCCAGCAGGTAGGCAGGAAAGGCCAGGACTGCCAGGCCAGGGCAAAAGGGGACAGGGTCAGCCCCTTGGGATTCCACATCTTGCCCAGTGACAATGACATTGTCCTCGTGGGTTCTGAATCAGGAGGAAGCAGTTCACACACAGGTAGGCTCCCCTCTCTCCCCAGCGCCCACACTCACGGTCTGCACTCTCCACCCGGGCGTAATTCCCCTCTTCACAGAAACTGATGTTCCCTAGGTGTAGGATCCCTGCCACCAGCTGCAGAACCAGCTGCTGGACGCTGGGTGGGATCCCAATGACTTGCATGGCACTCTGTGGGCACAACAGGGAAAACCAACCTTGGCTTCCATCCTGCCCCTGGGGCCATAGCATAGATTCAGAGTCAGAACATTTGGGGTGCCTGGCCTGGCTCTTTCATTCACTTGCTGGGTGACCTTGGACAAGTCTCTGTTCCTCTCTGGGCTTCAGTTACCTTATTTATAACATGAGAGGGTTTTCCCTGGGCTTAAGGACTGGCTGAGGGCTGCAGTGGTGTCTGGTACTCACCAGGGTCTCACTGAAGTCGCTCCTGTCATCAGTGCCATCCACCTTGTAGGTGTCTGACTGGTTGAGGTAGTAATAGTAGTCGGGCGTCATGAGCCCCAGGTTCTGGCGCTGCTCCTGCGAGGCCCCTTCCAGCAGCTGGAGGGTGAGCGATGCTCAAGCTTCTGGAGCTGACCCAGCACAGCCCTCGTGGGCTCCCTGGACACTGACCTTCCCATTATCTCCCTTCCCAATCCCTGTGGTCCACTTGGGGTTCCTGTGGCCCATCCCCATGGGCCCCTTCCCTGCACCTGGTAGTAGATGTGAAAGTTCCTCTCATTTTCATTCTGCATGACCACACGGGACTTCTCTAGCAAGAAGTTGGAGATCTTGCCCCCATCTGGCTCCCCGCCACGGCTAAACTGGATCTCAAAGTACTTGCCCTGGAGACATCAAGGATACAAATAGTAAATCCTGGTAGGGACGCAGGGAAAGGAGCACGTATACTCTGGTGGTGGGGTGGTGAATCAGTGCAGCCACGGTGGACGTCAGTGTGGAGGTTCCTCAAAGGACTCGGAATTGCACCGCCACTGAACCAGCTGTCACCACGGAACCAGCTATTCCACTCTTCGCTATTTATCCAAAGGAATTAAAGTCATCACACCGTAGTGATCCATGCACCATTCACATAGCCAAGTCACGAAACCGCCCAGGGGCCCATCAACAGGTGAACGGAGAAAGAAAAGGAGGTCTCTGAACAGATGGAGCTTTACTTTCTATCACCCCCATCCAATAAGAATACAGACTACACAAAGAAGAACGAAATTACGTCATTTGMAGGAAAACAAATTGAACTAGAGAGCTTTATGTTAAGCAAAATAAACCAGACTCAGAAAATCAAGGGTCATTTGGGTTTAGGTGGAATCCAGAGAGAAAAAAGGGGGAAAAATGGTGGGTGTGGATCTCGGAGAAGAGCCAGGTAGAGGAGTACCCTGGGGGAGGGCAGGAGGAGGAGAAGGGGAAGTTCTGTAGGATCCTTGCCACCAGCTGCAGAACCAGCGGCTGGACACTGGGTGGGACCAGTGTCCAAATTAAACTGACCAAATTATGTTATGTGCATGTATAAATGTGTCACACTGAAGTCCACTATTAGGTATGATTATGATGCACCATAAATGATAACGCCYTGAATCGCAAAGAACCACATTAGTCCCCAGGGCCAGAGTGCAGGTGGCGCAAAGCCTAGGAAGGGTCTTGGGAGCCTGCTTCTCTTGTCTCTTCCTCACTTGGCCTTCTCTCTCCTTCCTCTTCCTACACCCACTTATAAAGTACTTGCTCCTTTCACCAGCTGCTCCCCTTTGGCCTTTGCTCAGGTTGTGCCCTGGGCAAGCAATGACCTTTCTACCTGCTTGGATGCACAGTCCTGGGATCATCACATTTTATCAACCAGTTTCCACGTCCCTGCGCCTAACACAGAGGCCTCCACGTCTCTGTGGATCCCCGTGGTCCTTTGGCATGTCCTGTATGCTCTCCCAAGACCCAGGACAAGGGCCCCAAAGACCCCTTCTTTGGTCTCTAACACCACCTGAGTTCTGCTCTGGCCAGAGGTTAGAGGGAAGAAAGTCCTCTACCACCCCTGTCCAAAAACAATACAAATTACATCGTCATCTTACACAACACCTATAGCATGAAATGACTATTTATCGTATTGTACACTAAAATTGTACAGTAAAATGTATATATGTTTTGACAGTCATCCATTTTTTTAATATTTAAAATTTTTTTAGTTATAGATGCACACAATATCTTTATTTTGTTTACTTATTTTTATGTGGTGCTGAGGATTGAACCCCRAGCCTCACATGTGCAAGGCAAGTGTGCTGACACTGAGCCACAACCCCAGCCCTCATCTGTGTTTTTTATGTGTATTATTCAAACAATAATATTATGTGATTCCACTTAGATGACATTCTAGAGCAGGTGAAATGAATATATGGCAAACAATAGATCAGAAAAGTGGTTGCTTCTACTGTCAGTTGGGAGCAGAGGTTGACCAAGGGGCCAAGCGGGAACTCTGGAGTCATGGTGATGGATTGAACGCTGGGTTCAATCCTCAGCACCACATAAAAATTAGAGTGGTCCACTTTGGATATATGTATTTTGCAGTATGCAGTTAAAGAAAAGCTTCAAATGTATACTGGACAATGATCAGTGATATCCACGTTGGAGTGTTTGGGTGGCGCGAGGTGTGGGGCCTATTTACATCGCAGTGTAACATCGTCTCCATTTTATGGATGAGCCAGCGGGAGCCTCAAGAGATGACATCATTTTTTTTTTTCCAACTGGGCCACACAGTTAAACAGTGACAGAACCAGACCATAAGTCCAGATCTGTTTACCCAGCCCCTGACACCCACAAAAAGAAGCCCAAGAACTCTTTGTTGAAAGGATGAATGGAGGAATAAATTGGACCTGAAATCTGAAAAGGAAGATTTCGTGGCTGCCCCAGGGGAGTATTTAAGGATGTTACACAGAGGTGTCATGGCCTCCACAGTCCTGACAACGGGGGACCCTTTTTCAAACGGACCATAAGTAGGAAGTGAGTCTCCCTTCCAGAAGTAGGCGTTTCCTGCTAAATTTCCACAGGGACTGTAGTCCTGTCTGTGTGTGTGCGTGTGCACATGTGTGTGTGCGTGTGTGTGCATGTCTGTGACGTGTGTGTGCGTGTGTGTGCATGTGTGAACGTGTGTGATGTGTGTGTGTGTGTGTGTGTATGTGGTCTGGGGGGGTTGAGAAGGTTGGCTTGGAGGGAGCAGCTGCTCCAGGTGGGTGGTGGAGACTTACAAATCGGCTGGAATTGTTGTTGCGCACGGTTTTGGCATTGCCGAAGGCCTCCAGCAGCGGGTTGGATTGCAGGATGATGTCCTTGACGTGCTGCGGGCAGAGGCAGGTGGAAAGAGGTCAGTCGGGGTCAGGTGGAGCAGAGATGCAGCTGGGGGAGACCCGGCCTGTCCTGTTGCTGCCGCTCACCTGGACCTTCTCTCCCCCGCCAGACACCTTGGAGATGTAGCCCATGATGTATTTTGCGGCCACTGTCTTCCCAGCTCCACTCTCTCCACTGGGGTAGAGGGAAGAAGGAGTGATCAATGGGTGGGGGTAGTAGAAGTGCCTGCCCCATCACTCATTCATTGATTGAGCACCTATGGTGTACCCGGCACTATTCCAAGAACTGGGGACATAGTAGTGACCAAGACAGATGGAAATCCCTGTCCTCATGGAGCCGACATTTACAAGGGACAGATGGCCAGTGACAGAATGAATCAATAAAATAYACCGGGAGTGACCCAGTGCGAGGGAAGCAAGCCAGGAGGAGGGAAGGGGCAGAGAGGAAGAGCAAGGCTGTTGGGACTGGGAGTTCCAGGAAACCACCCTTGGGGTAGGTGATGTTTGAGCAGGCGCCGGCTGGAGGGTCCATCAGGGTCCCCYGCCCCGCCCCGTACCTGATGATGACGCACTGGTTCTCACAGTCGATGAGCATGTTGCGGTACATGTTGTCTGTGAGGGCGTAGATGTGCGGGGGGTTCTCGTACTGGGCCTGGGGGGGGCAGGGCAGGTGTCAGCCCAGGCCAGGGGCTGGGCGTCTTGGGTTGTTCCTCCCACCTGACCCGGGCCTCACCGCGCCCTGGTAGAGATCGATCTCACGGTCAGTGAAGTAGGGCATCTGCTTGAAGGGATTTACGGAGATGAGCACCGGGCCGATGTAGGTCTGGGAGACGGTTAAGGACCACGGAGTGTTGGGAGGGTTTTGACCTTCAAGGACCCTATGGCCTCCTTCTGCTCCCCTGGGGATTCCCTGAGCCCCGTTACTTGGAGGGAGACACAGAGATGCTCAGATGTACCTCGAGTCTCTTAGGAAAAAACTGGGCTTCGTCCAGAAAATGGGACTGTGACCCTGGGGCAGGGGGAGGAGGGACAGGTACAGCTACCCCCCACAGTATAGCCCACTGATACTTCATCTGCCCTCGGTCTCCAGCCCAGGGCCCTCCACGCCCGGCCTCCCTCTGTCCATGCACCCACTCTCTGCCCATGGCTCAGGCCCTCCATGTCCTTCCCTTAATGTCTCCGTCCACCTGCCATCCCCCYCTCCGCCCAGCCCTTCCCCTGCCCCTGCATCCCTTCCCTGCCTGCCCCCTGCCCACGGCCAGGCTACGAAGATGTAGTCATCCATGAAGCGCTTGCGCAGGTTGCCCACGATGGCGTCCTCGGTGATCTGGGGCAGCAGCACCATGTCGTCCACGCCGCTTTGCTTCACGTTGTGGCTTTGCCAGTGGAAGCGTTCCTTGCTGCCCTGGGTGTGCGCGTGCGGCAGGGTGAGCTGCGGTTGGGCGCCTGCTCACCACCACCAGGATGGGCGTCACCTTAGCCACTTCTGTTCCTCCCCACCTCAGGGACCCCGCGAGGGGCGGCAAGGCCCATTCAGGCTTCTGACCACAGAAGGACGGCTCGGGTCCATCCCTCAGGCCTCTTTTTTGGTCCTTCTGTGCATTCATCCCTCCTTTCAATACCTCCCCCCACGGAGGACAGACGCCCGCCCAGTGGGGCCCTCACAGGCTGTGGCGCAGKAGGAGGGAGGCTGGAGCCTTGCTGGGGAACCCCCCACCCTGGTCCTCACTTCCTTCCCTCCCCCTCCCTCCCTCCCTCCCAGCTGCTCTGTGACATTCCACCTCAGCTAACCCCTTTCACCTTGGGGAGACCTCCTTCCTCCCTCTGCCCACATGATCATGTGTCCCAACCTGGGGCTGTGACCTCCGTCCTGGATCTTGCTGTGACACTATTCCTTATCTCAGCCCATGACATCTGGCCCAGTCTCCTCCGTCACATTCTTCTCTTTGGCCTTGCTCCTCATCAGTTCCGGACTTTCCCTTCGCCTCCCCCAGTTCCTCATGCCCTTCTTTGGGCCCCTGGGGGAGACTCGGGCACAGGCACCCCCCCACCCTCTAGCTCAAGTGAATTCATCCAGTGCCCTAGATTCAGGGTCTCTCTGGGGACGCTTGCTGCTCCTGTCCAGGACACCCCTGCCCGGCAGGAGTCTGGCAACAGAGAGCGACAGCCCCCTGGAGCGTCCCTGGTGGCAAACTCAGGCTCGGAGGTGTCCCTCCTGCAGACAGTGCCCCATCCCAGGCCAGGAGCTTCTGGAGGCTGGGACCCGGGGGGAGTCCTTTCTTAGTCCCAAAAGGGAGATCTGCTGAGTGAACCAGGGCAAAGAAGGAAACGGAACTTCAGAGGAATATTCCAGAGCAAAGGATGCTGGGAACCAAGACCAATCTCCAAAGAGGACCCACTCTTCCAGCAGGTTTGGGGAGTTGGAGACGGGTGTCTGGGCAGAGAGGAGACGGACAGGGTGGAGCAGGAGAGTGGTGTGGGCAACACTAGGTCAGAGGGGGAGAAGGCTGGACCCAGCATCGGAGGGTCCGCCAGGAGGTGTTCTCCAGTGCAGGAGGGGCACAGCCGGTTCCAGACTCCCCTCAGCCCGGGAGGTGGGTGGTCGAGGAACACCAGGGCTGAAGTGAGCCCCGCCTTGGTGTGGGGCTGGGGCTGGGTCCTAATCTTGGCGAGCAGCCTGGTAGTGCTGTGGGCCTCCCCTGCCCCATCCGTAAAGCCGGGGGGGGAGGTGGCCCCGCTCCCTAGGGCTGAGGATCAAACGCTCTGGGGAACCAGGTGGCTGGGGTGGGTACTCCTGCCCAGCCCGAGTGGTGGGAAGAACGACGAGGCTGATGGGCATTTGACCAAGCTCATGTGATGCGCCAGGTCTGGGGGACATGGTGCTGGGGCCGCCACACTGCCATCCTCACATCGTCATCGTGGGACACAGGCTAGGAGGCAAACCGAGGCTGGGCGTGGCGTGGCTTGGCTAAGGACAGTGGCCTAAGGACATGGCTCTGTGTCCCGGGTGGATAATGGGAGCCCCAGTCTGATGGTGGAGAACGGATTCCAGCCTCTGTGCCCGCCAGAGGCTGCCCTGGGAAGCGGGTAGACAGACAGGGAGGCGCCGCCCTGGGCAGAGTTGGAGGGCCGAGGAGGGGGCGGGTGGAGCAGGGAGTCGCCCCTGAACCCCTCCACCGGCCCCGGCCGAGTCATCAGTGTGCACCTTTCACGTGGTGACCCTGACCCATCTCTGTGTGGCTGAAAGGCCATTCCGGCCCCGGTGGCCCTCCCACTCATGCATGCCACAGGGGATCTTGAGCCTGAGTGCTCATCCTGAGTCCTCCGGGTCTCAGCGAATGCCAGTCCCCGTCAGACGCCCTTCCTGGCCTCCTCAGAGCCAATCCATCCTTTGTGATGGGCTCAGGGGACATCCCCTCTGGAGAGAACTTCCTGAATACAGAACAGGTGAGGTGCTTCCTCTGAACCCCTGCTGCCTCCCGCGTGTCCCTCAGCATCCACACTCTGGACGCGGCACACCCAGCTCCTCTGTGTCCCCTAGGGCAGTGTCTCCGGCTTCTTGAGGTGTCAGCACTGAGTCAGTGAGGAAAAGTTCGAGGGTGAGTGAATGGAGCAGGGGTCCTCCAGGGTCAAGACAAGGAGTTTGGCCCGACTGACTGAGCTTGGAGCTGGGAGCCTGGCTGGGAGGCCTGGGGACGGGGAGGGGCAGTTGTGGACTGGGGAGCCCCGAGCTGGGGTGCTACCTCGCCTGGGAGGTGGAGAGGAAGGGTGGGTAGGAGGGGGACTGAATGAGGAAAGGGGGGAGGACATGGCTTGGGCTTAAGGTAAAGATCAAGGTGACAACCAGGTGGTGACCCAGCAGGAGAAGCTGGTGATGAGCTCAGCGAGGGATGCTTTGAGTCTGGGGCCCTGGGGAATGTGTAGGGGTGGCTCAGGGGACCAGAAAGGCTGTGCTGGAGCCAGTGAGTTGGGGTTCGCCTGGGGAGAGTTCTCAGCGGGGCATACTGTCCCTGGAGGCACATTTGGAATCATGGGAACATTTTTGGTTGTCTCAGAGATGGGGATATGACTGGCACTCACTGGGTGGGTCTCAGGGTGGGTGCTAAATTTGCACACCTGCAGCCCCTTCCCCACCTAGGCAGATGGTCATGTAAGTGACAAACCTGCTTATAATCACTGGAGCCTAGAGCCAAGCTGTTTTATGCATAAACAGAAAATCTATACCCGTGGTAATTATAATCAAAATGCCTGAAAGAATTAATAAAAAAATTAAAATTAAATAAAATAATAATTAAAATTAATAAAATAAAAGAATTTAAATTCTTTTTAAAAGATTTGGTGTATTTGCATTTCATAGACGTCCCGGGGATGGACCCAAGTCCTAATGTGAGCTGCCTTTGCTCCACCTGTGTCCGTGTCTGACCTGAAGGCGATTTTGTTCACTACTTTTAGTGCACCCTGCGTCTTGATTGCCACCTGTCGCATGAGGTCAGGGGTGAAGTTGTCCACTTTTGGCATCATGTCAGCACTCAAAAATTTCAGATTTGGGAGCATTTTGGACTTGAGAGCTCTGGATGGGGTCGGCTCAGCCTGCACACGCTCAGCATGATTGACACCCACTGCCTTTTGCAGCCGCATGACCACCAAGGGCAAAGGGAGGTTTTAGTTTTTCCAGATTTCACCGAGTTCAACATCTAGGAAGCTGATGTCCCCCAAGGTCACACTGCTAGTGCTGTTGAAGTGGCCACTGTACCACCCCTCAGTATTGGCCTGCAGGTGGGGCTGTGTGCTCACGGACACACCTGGTCACAGGGGYGCACCTGGAGGTGTTCCTGCTGCTCGGGCCTGAGCGCTTCTCTCTGCAGGACTGGGGTCACACGAGTTCTTTGTGACCCTCAGGGAGTCCCGTGTGCCCTGGCCTGGATGGCAAGCCGGCTGGGAGAAGGGGGCGTGGCCGGGATGAGGGCAGGGCGGGGCCAGCTGGGGCTGAGCTGGGATGAGGGGTGCGGAGGGTGGGGAGATTCCACCAGCTACTGAGGATTGGCCACACCCTCCAGGGCCCCCAGGGAGGGGGTCAGAGACCTCAGGGTCAGAAGTCAGCTTGAGGGGGGAGGGGGTGTGAGGACAGGTGTCAGACACTTTGGTTGGGAAGAGGAAGAGGGAAGGAGCTGGGGGAAAGGTGGGGTCACGGGGTTTCCTGTTTTCAAGATGGGGAGACCAGAGCGCGTTGGTGAGGAGGGAGGACGAAGACTGGGAATGAAGAGGTGTCCTTYGCCATCTAGGGGCTGGGGGTCTGCTCCCTGTCTGAGCCGATGGCTGGGGGGACCTGAACAGCCCAGCATCAGTGGTGGGGGGGACAGGAAGTGGATTCTGTCTCTGAGGAGCTGGGGGGGTGGGTCTGTGAGTGCTGAGGTTGGGAAACAATGACAGCAGTCGTTAAGACCCTGCAGGCGTTTATTCTGCGCCAGGCTCTAGTCTAAGTTTGTGTTTTCTTGGGCCAGGCTTTAAGCCTAGGACCTCATGCTTGCTAGGCAAGCCACACCTCTGCACTGTCCTAAGCTTTTTAAAGTGAATTATCTCATCCTTTCAACACATGCTGAGTTTGTTACGATTATCAAGTCCATTTTGCAGAAGAGGAAACTGTGCAGAGAGCACAGAGAGGTTAGGTAACCTCCTGGAGATCACACAGCAGGAGCGTGGCTGCGTGGGAAGAGAGAACACACCAGACTGTCTGACAGTTTGGGTCAGAGTTGGCTGGGTTTGGTGCTTCAAGTCAGATGAGGACAGATGGGGTGAGAACAGACAGGCGTATCCAGGGCTTCCCCTTTCAGGCTGGTCCTTTCTTCATGCAGTGAGGCCCCTCCGGCTGAGCTGAGACCCAAGGCCACTTCCTCTTGCTGGAACTAGAGGCCTGAGGCCAGCTGTGTCTGACTGGGTGCACTGGCCGTCTGGTTGTGGTGGCCTTGGGCGCTTGGTTCCTCTTCCTGTCCCTCCCTTCTTCCCTTGCTCTGCAGAGTAGCCTCTGTGTCTCGCAGGCCTGCCATCCCTTCCCTCTCCATCCTGTCCCCAGGGCCTGGCCCCCAGACACTCTTAGCTCCAGCCAATCATCAAGGCCCAGGCCGTGTGCATGGAAGGGAGAGGAGGCTTTGTCCGTGGGTGTGCAGGGGCAGTCAAGGATGTTGGCACATGCATGACAGGTGGTCTTCAAGTCCTGGGTTGACAGTTCACCACCTTGTGGCTCTGGAAGGACCATCTCACTCTCAGCCCTGTCTCCCCTCCTCTCACAGGGATTCCATTATGAGCTTCCAGAGGACTAGGATCTAGGAACTGGTCAGGACATACTTGCTGAATGAATGAATGGAGTACCATGGAAGAGACTTCTCCCTGTCCTGTCTTCTAAGCATCCCTCTCTCTGTGCCCTCCAAGTTACCATGGGTCAAGTTTCAACTGTTTACCCATGAGCCCCTTCCTTGGGGTGGGGGTGTAACGAAGAGGTTGTGGTCACAGTTGACCACAAGCTGAGTATGACTCAACCTGCTGGGGCTGTTATGAAAGACCATCAGGGGCTGGAGGTGCTAGGGTGGGAAGGGGAAGGTAGCTTCTTCCTTCAGCTCTGCAGAGAGGTCTTGCTACCCCAAGGTGAGAGGCAGGAGGGGTAGGGATAGTCTGGGACAGACTTGCCCTGTGCGAAAGGGAGGAGGGGTTCTTTGTGGTCAAGGTGGTGGCTGCTGTAGGGCTAGGGCACCCGCCCTGTAGTGAGCACACTTCCTGAGCCTCTGCTGGGCCTGAGGTAGGCTGAGACCCTGCGCAGATGACCCTCCTCTGGGAGTAGGTGGAGAGATTGCCCAAGGGGCCTGTGTTGGGGAAGGGGAGCGGGAGGCAGGTCTCGGGGTGTGTGTCAGGGACGCCAGAGTCTAGCTTCTTTGGAGTGAGCAGAGTGTCCAGTTCTAAATAAGGCTGAAGGGATGGGCAGGGGTCCTTCAGGGGAATGGGCAGCCCAGGGCATGTGGGTCAGTGCCCACCTCCACTGTGGCCTCTCACCTCCTGGCAGGAGGGGCGGGCGGTGCCAAGGTGGCTGTTGACTGTGTGGTCACGGGAGTGACCGAGCTGAAATCCGCTCTGGTTATGCAGACACTTGCCTGACCGCCCGCTGCCTCAGTTTCCCCATCTGGAATATGGGAGCCCGGAGCACGTAGACCTCACGGGGCAGAGTTTGTCACACGCACATGCCAGCCTCCCCGTTGCCCTCTGCAGCAGCCTCGGGCTTGGCCCCTGGAGGCCCAAGGCCATGAGGGAGGGAGCTTGTTCCAGTCACCCCGAGTGCTCCCAGCTTTCTGTTCCTGCATGAGGAGGAGCAAGAGCCCTGGTCTGGAGAGAGCACAGAAGACCACTTCCTTCCTCGGGGGTCCCACGGGCTATGGCTGCTGGGAGGAGATGTGATGTGGTGGCACTGCTGCTGGGACCAAGACCCCTGGTCCCCCGGGGCTGCCCTTGGAACCTTGGTCTGCCTCCCCCGCCCCGCGGGCTCGGGGCCACGCTCTGCCTCCCACGCTGTGCAAACAGCATCCTTGTCTCCAGAGGCTCCCAGGGTTGCCCTCCCGCTTGGGGAAGCAGAGGGTCTGTTTCCTCTTGGTCCAGCCGGAGCCATTATCCAACAGGTAGGGATCCCCATCTTTTTGGAGCGGGGCTCTCTGTCTGGTTGCTGGAGACGGTCCAGGGTCAGGGGACTTGACACCCCACATGGAGGCCGGAGCTGGGGAGCTCTGGTCTCACCCTCTTGCTCACTGGAGAAGAGCCTTCGAGTGGGGCCCAGGCCCAGCAAACACCTCCCTGGCCCTGGCTCTTGCCGTCCCCCGCCCCGCAGCTGGGCTCAGTCTTCATGACTTTCACCTCTGGTCCCTCTCAGCTCCAGTCTCTCCTGTCCAGCTCCACAGCCAGTGGCCCTAGACCAGGCAGCCACATCATGGTCTGCTTTCTGTCGGTCCCTTTAAAACAACCACGTTTAGCCTCCTGTCACCACCAGTGCCAGCCAGTTGCCGCCTCCAGCCCGCAGCCCACAGTCAGTCAAACAGAAACTGCTAATGACAGCGGTGCCAGCACCAGCCAGAGTCAAGCAGAAACAGGAGGGACCTGTTCCATCCTCCTCTGCGCCGCCCCCATCACCACCCACCAGCCCAGGAGCCACCCACCAGCAGCAACACTGCTGGCCAGCAGCCGCCCAGCCGGCCACCTCAGCGACGCCGTGATGCAGCACTGACCCGCCAGTGCTCCCACTCACCAGTGGGAGCACCCTCACCAGAAACCAGCGCGGCCTGGGGGTGGCGCTCAGTGCGGGGTGCGGTCACACCCCAGCCCCATGACAAAACAGGCAAACCCCAAAACCACCCCAACCCCCAAACCCAGCAACGAGCTACAAACAGCAAAGGACACCCCAACGCCACCCAGCTCCAACAACAGCAACCAGACCGCCGTCGGTCCATCCATCACCAGGGGTCACCAAGACGTCCATTAGAAAAGTCCAGTGACCAGTCTTAACCCCCTGTCACCACATCAGAGACAAGAGCCACCTTTAGCAACAGCCGCCATTGCAGCCGACGGTGACCACTCCTCCCTAGTGACCAGGGTCGGCCGCACCCTTCCCGTGGCTGACTCCAGAAGCACCTGAGCCCCGCCCCGGAATGGCCACTGTGTCCTGGGCGCACACCGTGTGCTCTGTCACAGACCTTCTGAACAGAGTCCTGTGTCCCTGCAGGAAGTCCAGCCCCCACAGGCAGAGGTGGCGTTCCCATGGTGGCCTCCTCCACCTCTCCTCCTTGTCCTCCCCTCCCACTAGCCCCGTCCTATCTCCCAAGGAGCAAGTCGCTTCCCGTGTTCTTCTGAGCCAAGTGCCCACCAGGGCTCCTCCGCCCCGGGCTCGGCTGTCTTGGAAGTGTCTCTGTCCCAAGGCCTGGCTGTGGGCCACGGAGCCCGTGATGCCCGGCCAGTGATGCCCGGCGCGCCCCTGCTCTCCCAGGAGGGTCTCAGGCTTGCCCAGCTCCTGCCCCGCGCTCCACCTCCTGCCTCGCCCTGCCCAGCTGTTTTCTGCAACCACCAAGAACCCTACCTGTGTCCCTGTCCCGCATTCTCGTTGACAGAGTGACAAAAACTGAAAGCTGAAGTGGCCTGAGGAGGTCTGGGGCTGGGACCTGGGGAGGCCCGTGGAGCCAGCGCGCTCCCTCTTGCTGGGTGTTTTGGGGCTGCTTGGGCTGGACAGGAAGGCCTCGGGTCACCTCTCCAACACACCTGACCTCGGCGCGCAGGCTGTCTGCAGGGGTCTCTGCGGCCATCCTCTGCGGGTGGCTCCGAGCGAGGACACTAACACTGTGACCATCTCCCCACCTTTTCCTCTGTAGACACTGCAGCCAAACCACCCGCCACCCACACAGCCACACTGTCACTACCCCCCCCCCCGCCCCGGCCCATGAGACACAGCTTCTCCCCCCATATAAGAACCTCTATAAGAAGCTGAACTTCTGCCAGACCCACAGGCCCTCTGAATGTCCCCACTGAAACGCTCCTGAAGAACCTCGTTCACAGCCAGCCTTTCAGAGATGACATCTGTGTGCACGGAGGCCAGGAGAGAAGAGGGGACATGTCCAAGGCCACATGGGGAGATGAGAGCTGAGCTAAGCACTGACTTCCCTGGATGTCCCCCAGGAAGGGACCAGGTCCCTGTCCCTGCACTCTGATTCCCTTGGGGACACCGTCTCTCCTCCTGTTGCTGTTCCACGGGTCCCAAGAGCCAGCCTGGCATCGTCAGATGGGAACCTGTGCCTGGTAAGGGACTAGGGTCCCTTGACCTGCACTGAGGSACCCCAAAGGGCCGGCCACTGTCCTCCTCATTCCTCACCTTCCGAGGCTGATCTCCAGGGCACCTCCACCTGGCTGCTGACCCACCCCTACCCTTCCAGAGCCCACCCTTGGAGGACTTACCATGGTGGGGTTGGCGTCCGGCTCCTGGGGGGTCACCGGAAGGGCTGTGGCTGGGGCACAGGCTCAGAGGGCTCTTGGGGGCGGCTTGGGCATGGCCCTGCTCCCGTTCCTCACCGGCTCCTGGCCCTCAGTTCCTCTTACCACAGCCCCTCTCACTTCCTTTGACGGGAGGGGCCGTGGCCCTGGGGGAGGGAAGCTGGGCCCCAAGGGCGGGGAGAAAGCGGCTCTAGAGCAGAACTGGRGTAGCCGGCTTCTAGAGCCTCTGCACCTCCAAAATCGGGGACAGCCACTGCCAGACCCCAGACAGGGGGCTTCTCCATCTCCAGGACAGGGGCCACATTCGGGTCTGCTGGCCGCGGGGCTGACCACCCTTTGCAGGGTGATCCTGGAAGCATGTGGATTACTCATCTCCTCTGAAAACTAGGGAAAGGGCCATGTTAGATGCGCCTGCTCTGATAAACTCTCTTCCAGATCAGCCTCTGCTGCTCTTCCCTGCGTACAGCCCCAGGGGCCCATGCGGCTTTGTCKTGGAGGGGCAGTGGGGTGGACGGTATGCGGGGCCAGGTGTCCTGAAAAGCCTCCAACTTTGGATGTGAGATCTGGACCTGCAGCCCCCTGCTCTGCCACTTCCTGGACTTGATTTCCCATCTTCTTCTTGTAAAACGGGGCATCTTCTCTTGGCAGTGCCTGGACCCAGGCTTTGGTCTCTGGAAAATCAGCAGACCACACCCTGGTCTCTTGTTAGTAGAGGAAATAACAGTTCCAGGGGATAATCTCCTCCCCACTTCATCCAACAAGGAGGTGGCTGAGGGGGCAGCCACCTGTGTTCAAACCCATCTTTGGCCTTTGATGCACCCTCCTAGKTGTCCAGAGGGGTGTCTCCTAGTGTCCACATTTGGGAAGGAGCCTGTCTCTCCTTGAATCTCCTGAGCAAGTTCCAGGAATTGGGGCAACCTGATGGGTCCGCAGGCAGGAGGACCCTACGTCACTGGGGTGGTCAGGGGTGTGACCTTGGGAACCTCTATAAGAAGCTGAAAGAATTCTGGGCTTTTGTTTGTGTGGGTAAAAGTCCCCTAAGTTCATTGTGGATGACCCTGAAGAACTGTGACCTCTTCTGGTCTCGGGCAGGCGCTGGCCGGGACTCACGCACACCGACACACATCTGGGAACGCACAGAAATTTACACAAGACAGAACTTTATTATGTGGGGCTTCCTGGTGAGGAGTGTGTGGGCCCCAGGGTAGGGCTTGTAGCACCATGAAGAGGGTGGCCTGGATGTTGGGGTCCCCACAGGGCAGGCAGAGCAGAGGCTGGGGTGGACACTCCCCTGGGGTCAGTTAACGGGGAGGGGATCAGGGAGATGGTGCTGAACTCCTCCCCCATAGTAGACACAGATTCCCCCCAGCTCCGAGTGGACAGGAAGGCCAGCGCTGGGGGGCAGGGCACCCGCAGACCCCCTCCCCACCTCCACTCTTCACAGTACATATTCCCATCAAAGGGTGGGAGAGCATTGGGGACTCCGTGAGGGTGAGTGCAAAGGGCCCTGGGGTGACCTTTGTCCCCTTCCCAGACCCACCCTGGAGGAGGTCTCAGTATGAACTCCGTGAGGGGCTGGGAGTAGCTAGCCCCTCTCCATCGCCCAGCCAGGGGCCCTGCAGGGGTTCCCAATAAATAACTTCCAACTCCATCTCACCCTTCCCTCCCAGCTCCCGCCCCCTCCGGCCCTCTCAGGCCCAGACCCCTACAGCCTGCACTCAGGTGTGGCTTCAGGTGCCGCGCGCCCCCTAGCGGCCCTGGCAGGTTTTGCAGCACATCTGGCGGAAGTAGGCTCGGCTGCAGAACTGAAATTTGAGCACCAGGGGGCAGTAGGCGACTTTGTTCACATCCTTGCACTCTGTGGGGGGTTGAGGGGGAGAGAAAAGGAGAAATCAGGTCTTAGTGTCCCTCCCAGCAGGGGTGCATACACTGTCTGGACTGTGGGTTCTGGTCACTGACTTTGCTTCTCTATGTCTCAGTTTCTGCCATTGTCAAAAGGGGCTTATAAGAGTACGTATGTCATTAGGCTGTTTTGAGGATTTAGAGTGTGCAGGGGTTGGGGCTGATTTGGATACATCATTAACCAGAAAAGTATTTCCTATTCAGTTATCTTTTTGATGCCACCCAGAAGAGAATATCTGTTTACAATGCTCACTCCTTTCCCAAGTTTAATAAACTTGGGCCACAGTTCCAGGCATTTGTGTATTTTATGCATGGTATTCAACAATCTCTCTTCATGACACGGGACAGCAGCCAGTGAAGCGCAGCAGGGTCCTGTCCTAATAAAGGGCTTCACGTTGATCATTTTGTTCCATCTCCCTAATGAGGCATCCCGCCCAAGTGAAGACATCATTCATGCCCCTTGACAGATAAGGAAATGGAGGCACAGTGGTGTGAGGCAAACCTCTGTAGTTTGGCTCCAGTGCCTGGAATAAGAAATCTATTGCTGTCTATCACAAATGTGTAAACTGGTGCGGTGACGTACACCTGTAATCTCAGCTAGTTGGAAGGCTGAGGCAGGAGGATCACAAGTTTGAGGCCAGCTAGGACAACTTACTGAGACCCTGTCTCAAAATTTACAAAGAGCTGGGGGTGTGGCTCAGTGGTAGAAGGCATGCCTAGCATGCTCAAAGCCCTTCGTTCAACTTCTAGTACTGCAGAAGCAAACAAGCAAACAAAAACAAACATGATTTACAGCTGGGTGCAGATGCACCTGCCTGTAGCTCCAGCTACTCAGGAGGCTCAGGCAGAATCACTTGAGTCTAGGAGTTCAAGACCAACCCGGGTAACATAGTGAGACCTCCCATCTCCATTCACACACACACACACACACACACACACACACACACACAGAATTGTGGTATAACAGCAGTATTCTCAAGGGGAGGAGAATTTGTCCCTTCCCCCATAGTAGGCAATATCTGGAGATATTTTTCCTTGTCATAATTGGGGAGAGGGTTTGTTACTGGCATCTAGTGAGAGGTCAGGATGCTGCAGACATCCTACAGAGCACAGGACAGAATCACCTGGCCCAACGCATCAATAGTGCCTGAGACTGCGAAACTCTGATTTAAAGGAAAAATGCAAGGTGAATGAGAGAACAGGTGGAAATGAACAGGGTAAAGCTCACGGGCTGAGTGGGGACGAGCTGAGTCTGAGTGCTCAGAGGGTCAATGCCTAAAATGCTCAGCACAGTGACACCTAATAAGTGTTTGCAGGGTGGGCACAATGACAGATGGCCTGGCAGCGACAGAGGAGAGCATTTCAGGGGCTCCAGGAGCTCTGCGACTAACTGTCAGGACCCCCTTGCCTTCTCCTGTGCTCCTCTGTCTGTCGCCCACATACCTTCCGGGCCGTCCCCAGGTGGCGTACTGTCGCACTTAGTCTCACACTGCTGTGTGGTGGGGGGCCGCAGGGCCTCGGTGCACTCGCGGGACGGCTGGCCGGTGTGGCTGGTGCAGTGCACCGCACGCTGCTGCTGGCCGAGGCCACACTGCGCGGAGCACTGGGGAGAGGTGCCGCTGAGCCGACGCCCCTCGGTCCTGCCCTCTCCCGAGTCCCCTAGGGCGTGCCCACCTACCTCGCTCCACTCACTCGCTACCCAGCGGGCTGGGGGACAGCGGCGCAGGTTGCAGCGCATGGTGGCCGGCGGCTTAGCTGAGGGCGGGCAGTGCGTGGGGGGCAGCGTGGCCCGCTGGTCAGCGCTCTTGCAAAGGACCACGCGGTGACGAAGTCCGGGCCCGCAGCTTGGGGTGCACTGTAGTTGGAGATTTTTATGCTCAGCGGGTGGGCAGGGGGCTGACCCAGTGGGAGGAGTGGAGTGGACAGACAGGTAACTGAGCCAGTCGAGGGTGGTCCCCTAGGGTACCTGGCCCGTGGAACAGAGCCTCAAAGAGCCCCACCCACAGGCATCCCAGGACCTGCCCACTCTCTGCCTGGAAGCGGACTGGGTGCGGGCGGGTGGGAAGGGGCAGCTGACCTCAGACCAGTCCAGGGCGGCCCACTCGGGAGGGCAGGTGGGGCCATGGCAGGCTTCCAGCACCGGTGGCCGGGGCTGCGGGCATGCGCTGTCGTCCAGCGCCTTCTCTTCGGCGGCCGACAAGCGGCGCTGGCACACGACGGAGCGGCTGCGCACTCCCGCGTCACAGCTGCGGCTGCAGCGCGACCAGTTTCCCACCACCCAACTGTTGGGATGCAGGAGGGGCCTGAGCAAGTATTTGGGGCAGGGGGCCCCAACCCTGGAGCTCGTGTTCTAGCCGATGCCAGTCCTGCCAGTGAGCATCTTACAGAATGGGGCAGGGCAGGCGCAAAGTGCTCCAGATGCACTTAGAGCATCGCATCACTGGGCACCCCGACTGAGGGCAGGGAGATGCATCATCCTGATTCCCCAGACTGTTACCCTGGCTGTGCAGCATGATCGTCCTGACCCCAGAACCATCCAGCTTTAGCCCTCACCTTAAGGAGCACCGTGACCTTGACCTTGGGTCCACTGTCACTGCAGTCCTTAATAGACCTGCTCCCCACGCCCTTGGGAGCATTCCTCCTGACCCCAGGGAGCACCCTGCCCCACCCCAGGCCACCCTGCCTCCAGGTGGACACTCACTCTGGTGGGCACGGCTCTGTGTTGCAGGCACGCTGCCTCTTGGGCAGTTTGCTGTGGGCACTGCAGTGGTGAGGGGCTACGGCCGAGCTGTCCAGCTGGTTGCGACACTCCACCACCTGCACCTGGCTGCCTGGGGGAGGGGAGAGTCCCGCTCAGTCCCATCAAAGGACAGCAGGCTGGGTGCCTCGCACTCACCCCGGCCCACCCTGGCCTCACCGCCTGCACACTGGGCTGAGCATTTGGTCCAGGGTGTGTAGTGCCAGGAGTAGGGGGGCAGGGCGTCCCGGGTGATGGGTGCATTGAAGCGGTAGCGGAGGGCAGGCAGCTCTGTTCGGGCCAGCACCTGGGGGCACAGGGAGCAGCCGATGGAAGGATCTCGTGGAGTCTCCATCCCCAAAAGATGCTAATGTTCTCCTGCACCTGTAACCCCCCACCCCACCCCAATGTTACCATGACGATGAGAGAGGCATTA